AATTTATGTAAAAGGCGATGCTCTTTTACAGCCGTGGAGTTTTACGGGCTGATGGAGAAGAAAAGAAAGATATATTATTATGGATATGAACGAACTAATTCCACTTGATGATTAGTGCTATAACAGTCCGTGGCCATCTAAAGTCAACATCAAACAACACAAGCTGCAAGCTGTCGCATCTGAGAACTAAGATAAAATGGCGTACTGTTAGTTATTATACGAAATCTCTTGCCCTTCACAATCGACGGAAATTCACCAGTAGGTGCCATGTTGATTGGGGATAGCAATAAATAAAGGAGGAGTACCTACCCTGATAAACTCCTAGGCAGAAAATTCCATCAATCAATATTACGCGCTCATGCAGACGTCAATCACTGCATTATACGGTAGATTATTCGTCAATCACAACCGTGAGGGTTGTAAATCTGACAGCCTGCATGAGCGTGTAATGTACGCCTAAAGATTTCAAAGTTTAATCATACAAAAGCATAGAGTAGTTGAATATATGAATTAAGGCCATGATGTAGTACGGTGTGTTAGTGTGAAAACGTTCACTTACTGAACTGTCAGAGGACGTAGTGTGTAGTACTTACTAAAGAAGGGAGAATTTTAGAACCTCGACGTTGTCCCGGCGGGCTCTGATGGGGCCGGTAACGAGCGCCCTTACTGTTATATTTTGTTTATTTTTTTCATAAGGTATAAAAGACGATTTTTTAAAACAGTATAAATTCTTAACTTGACCCAAAAATAAATAGTTTTATTTGCTATAATTTTTACACTTTTCGTTATGGAATTTCTATAATCTACACGTTTAAATAGCAATTAGGTGGTATTGTTATGATATGTTCATTGAGCCAATTATTACAATCCGCGTTCCTACCTTCACAAGTCTGTTTTACACAAATTCAATTTTTATAAAATGGAAGTGAAATTATTTGATTATATTTTATTGACTTTCCCACCTGCGATTTCGCCTAAATTAAATCAAATTTTCCTGATACTAAATATCAACCATCGCCCATGAAAAACTGCAAAACCAGGAAAATTGCATTTTTTACATTATTTCATTGCGCGTCGTCATCTTTTTAAAAGGAGTAAGCTCGTATCTTGAAGTTGTATCGGTCGGGAAAAATCGACGGTCGTAGATGATTCCACGAAGAAGTCGTGCGAGGAAGAAAACTCACCCTAGACTCACTCTAGACCGTCAAGTATCCAGGTGGTACGGATGATACCGTGATTTCTCTACTAATGTGCTAGAATTTGACGGCTGAAATTCATCCGAACAATTTGCCTAAGTACTCCCCTTGGCAAATGTGATAGAAAATGCAATGTGATGCAACATCTCTTCGCAGTTAGTGAATCGAGCCGATCAGAAAAAACTCGAACGTCAACGATTCGAGCCGCTGTTCGCTCGATGCCTTCGAGTGGAAGGAGCTGACAGCACTGAGATATCCCGGTCCAGAGATTAGAACAGTAGTCTATTTGATGGCGAACTTGCGTCTTAAAAAGTTGGAGAGGCATGCAATGCATGGTGTGGCATTAATACTGTCCCGCTCTGATAAGCAAGCTAAGTTTTTTTTTTTAATCTCAGGCGGCATCAGAGTTCTTTTTAGCGTTAAATGCGCAAACCTGTGTCTTGTAAAGTTTAAACTAGACTAAAGTAGCCCCTAATCCAAGTTTTTGTTGTGTGCAGGTGACAACATGATTGTGGAAAAGTATCACTCATTTATTATTTGTATTCAATAAAATTTTAATACATACTTCGTCGATTTCGTTAACATATTTCAAGTGCGTATCATTATTAATTTAGGGACCGCGTTAATTAAATTCTATTAACAACTCGACCCTTACATAAAGTGAACAATATCACATTGTATAAAACATAGTTCATTTATTTAATTATAGATATTTATACCTGGGAAAGAGCGCTTACCTTTATTTTGGGGTGAATAATATAACATGTAGGCTGGAACATATAATTATACTTGTAGTTTTATAAGTCAAGTTATGACATATTCGGCTTTTTCTTTTTTACTAACTCCTAAGAACCTACTTCCGATTTTGGACGTATCCCATAGTAGGTAGTCTTTGCAATATCTTCAAGGTCTAGCAGCCGTACCATCGTTCACAGTACCTAACGTTTCATACTTATGTAACAAAGAAAACAAATATTTCGAGTCCGCCAATTAATTGGTGCAATTGCCAATGGGGGCAGCGCGTCAGTCAAACTGCTCCATAAACCTCTCAAAAACGAGAAGTCTCTCCTCAACAGCTGGATGTAAAATACTGCCGCTTAACAAAAAGTCATAATAGTATCTTTACAAAATTCAGAAAGCGACTTTATGATTAGGAATTAATTGTGTAAGAAAAGGCCGGATAGATTCTACCGTCTCACCTGTTTCTTCCGCCCAAAAGCAACGTATTCACTGCTGCATTTCGGTCTGAACCAGTACAAATGCAAGCTGTGAGGCATTCCGTCTTAGTCCTAATAGATGACAACGCATCTGTAGCCATCTTTATTTGAAATTGGTTGCAGGTTGTAAGGGACTGTAGTAGTCACTTACCATCATGTGTACCTACCTTAAGTGCGTTTGTCGCTCCAATTTTATTTGCTTTCGACTCGTAGTAGAGTCACCTAAAAAATAAAAATATTATGTTAACATAAATAACTGATTGTTAAATTATTGCTTTAAGTAGATACTACGAAAAGCCCAGTCTCAGTTACGATGGATGTCATCTAGACCGAGTTTTAATCATAGCTGCATTATTAACGGAGACTAGGAATCTGCGCAAAATACGATAAGGGTACAAGTGTGAGCGCAAGCACCAGTACACTCCCTATACCATCACTCTCATAGTCCGATGGGATGACAATCTATCACGACCAAGAGAGATTAGGCGAAGGATCAGCATTGTTATCACGTGCTTTTTGTATCTAAAAAATCTAATAACTGATTTGGCCCGTCTCGGCATTTGAACTAGGAACCATATGATTAGCAGTCACGATTACAACTATTAGACCAAACAGGCAATCGAATACTATTTACGTAAAACTAATAATATAATACTTATTATAATGGGAATGAAAAAAATAATAATTAGGAATTAAAAAGGTAGGTAAAATTAATTTCAGATGAAAAAATTTATTGCATAAAGGTACAATTATTTTGCTTTTCCCTAAAGATAAAATTAATTTAATATCGATAAACTCACCCACAGATATGGGACTATTAAAAACACTGGAAATAGCCCGAGGCGTACTAAGTGATAATCAACAAAGAGCGCAAAATGTAACTATTTCGCACTCGGAATACGTAATTATTTTTGTTACGAAATACATTCTCTTCTAGGCTTTTAATTATCTACCAATTCCATGTATATTATATTTTGCTTTGCAGTAAAATATTAAATCAAAATATTTTAATATGGCGTAGTATATTATTATATACCAGCAATCCCCGATTAACCAAAACCCTCCCTACTACCCCCCACCCCCCAATTCAAGTGACTTAATTTTAAACCTTAACCAAAACTTTTGCATCGATAAGACGATTGTAAACTAACAAGTATAAACTAAAAACTTAAAAACTATATAACCACGGATTTTATTCTTCTAATAGTGATGCGACTTGAACCCTGTTTTCGCTCTGAGTCCGCTTGCACTTGAGTTCCCGAGTCAACTAGGCTCACCGTTTAGATTTGGAGAGCGCTAGATAGATGTCACTTCACTAATTCACTTCTAGTTTATGGCACCGCGGGCGACGTGGCATGTTACATCAAAATTCGAAATTGCATCTGGCATGTTGTAAACAAACATAAACTTAGTTTGATTTATAATATCGTCGTTGTGCTATCATTGTTTCTTTTTTGTGTGTTACTTCGTATATGAAGCGCGCATAAAAGATTTGAAATATATTTATTTGTTTAAAGTATTAGTGATAACAATAAAACAAAAAAAAAACAAAAATCGTCAGTGTGGCTTGTTTTGAAAAAAAAAAATATATCGTGAAGAAAGCGGTTTATAAGATATGTAAATATCAGTTTATAGACTTTAAAATACTACAGACATAAAAAAACGTGGTGATACTACAAAGAAATAAATATTAAATATTTTTATTTAATTGATATTACTTATGAAATGAAGGTACCTTTTTAAAAATGCTTTAACTAAAGTAATCGCTACTCTCAATTCAAGTGATAAACTTTTACTTTTTTTTTATAGAAGAAGGGGCAAAAGAATGATTTGGAAGGGTTCTTTCTTGAAGCCCATTGGTAGCCAAGGATGGGACTGATGCAAGGACTTTAAATAGTTAATTCAGATTATTCAAAAACTCTTACAGAACCACAGTAACATGATAAATTAACCCGAGGGACTCTAATATTTTTTTTCTACAATTTAGTGCTGTAACTCGACTTTCTGATTCCAACGATTTATTGGTATATTATGTAAAATCAATAAATTAAGTATAATTTCAGATAGTAAAATATATAAAGTTAGGTGATATATGAAGAGTATTATACAAACTATTTTAAGTCAGTATAATAGATAATTGTGTTGGGTGGAAGAACAAAATGTAAAAAATACAAAAATCAACTCGAGTCGAGTTTCTTCCGAGTTGGCACATCTCTACGACAATTGAGGACCTTGCAGCTAAAGGGAGGCAAGTCCAAATTTCAAAACTGTTGGGTATTTAAAAAAAAGGTTTTTAAAAATTGATTGATGTACTTATGTCTTATCGTTATATGGTATTATATAATATGAACATATATACACATTTTATTCAAGATTTAAGGCAATTGAAGAAGTAATAGAATTATAGATTTTTTGGCTGCCTCCGTTTTGCACCAAGATTTAAGAAAAATACTACCCTATTTTGTATTAAGGATAATAAAACAGGTAAACACGGTTATTTTTTTATTTCAAGAATTAGTAATCAGTCCACAAAGAATTAAACAATCAAAAGAAATACAAAAACGAATGAGTGCTGAACAAAAAAAAATTAGAGGTTAACTTCAGCTGGATCATCGTCATCTTCGCTAGAAATATCATCTGTTGGTCCGACAGCTTCACTTTTAAGGGCCCTGTAGAAATATAGTTTATTTGGTGGAACATAGTTCTTTACCAACTGCATAACATCGTTGTATTTAGCCTTTTTCAACGGCAATGCATGATCATACAGCGGTTTCTGAGGCAGAACTGATAGTTGGGCTTGAGCATTTCTCATTATAGGAAAATAATCAAATACTGGCGTTCCCGTTGTAACACTGACTGCAATAGTTTCAATGTGGTCTTAACTATATTCAAAAATACGATATTGAGATATTTTGAATCGAATCTTCTCTGTATTTGTTATTACTTTTTTGAAATGACTCTCATAATGTTGGCTGAAGTTAAGTATCATATTTTGACTTGCAACTTTTTACAACTTTAAAATTTTTAGATGCTTGCGTAATACAATCGGCACATTCAGAAGTCGTAAATATGTAATCTTTCCTTCTATTAAACTTTTCTATTACGCCGAAACACCGATCACACGGTAAGAAGCTGTGTCCTGGTTCTGGAAATCGATGAACAATCTTCTCAAAAGATGAACACCGCATAAGCGTATATAGATACTGAACTAAAGTCGAGTTCTTATTTTGTGCTGCTGCGTTATCAGAAAATAAATACAGTATTTTAACTGTGCTTGGTAAAATGTCATTTATGTAGTGATCTATAAAAGATATGACTTCGTTTGGTGATTTTCGGCCTATGGTTTCGTCATATAAATAAAAGTGAGCAATCACTGTTTTTGCTGAATGAATACAAAAATTATATGCCCAAAGTTGACGTTTATAAAATGCTTCACCTGCTGGAATTTTAGGTAATGGCATATTCTGCTGATAATCAAATGTTAATACTTCGCATTCTTCATTATTAAGAGCAAGTTGACTCTTCTCTTTTAAATCAACAAAAAAAAGTGTCGGCCTTGGCTTGATGAAGACTCTTCTCTATCTGTATTTGTTGGGTTTCATCGCTATCCAATGTCTTATCTTTTAGTTTGTTACTCAGCATGTCGCACTTCTTGCAAGTATCTGAACGAGGTGACCCAAAACTGTATTTAAAATTTTGTTTAAAGTATCTGCAGTAAAAATCAAATGATACTATAGGCTTAGCAGATGCTTCAAGACCAAGCTCATGCTTTTTCAAATATAACTCGTACATCCTTTTAATGTTCACCTCTGGATACAGATAATAACGTGAGCTTTTATTTCTACTGTAGTGTGACTCGCGACGTGGGAAACTTCTAATATGAGAGTCAAATTTAGAAACCCATTCACTTGGAATACGATTTGGTCTATTTTGATGTTTTCCACGATTAGACTGTGCTGGTGTAGTTACAGTAGGATCCCGATACTCTTTAGCAACATTGTCTACACGCTTTTTGGATATTCCATGGATAGATGCAAAGCCATTTCTGCAAATTTGTATATTTCTATTTCCTAATTTAATATAATATTTGTGTGAACAACTCAGTTTCTTCCCCGTACCAGTTTTAGATCTTTCCCTTTCAACATTCTCAGTTTTAATTAAAGCGCCTAAGTATACGTTTTGCACATAGGTTTCTTCCAATTTATTAAAATTTTCCAATATTAGTTTCCTATCTTCTTCATTAATTTGAACTAAACACTTATACTTCTTACAACAACAATCCGGTCCAGTTTTTCTTTCACCTATTTCACGGCCTTTATAGTTTAAATAGCCCTTTCCAGTAGCAATAGACTTCTTTATTACATTCCGTTACCATTGTGATGGATTCGCGGATTTTCTTTTTTTCGGCGCTATGCCTCTACTCGTCGATGGGCATGGATTATCTGTATTAAATTCATCCATAATATTCACACTTTTATCGTTCGCCTCATTAGTTTGGTTTTGAAATGTCAACAAACCAACATCGCTTCCATCATCATCTGTACTGGTTGAACATGGCTCGTAGACTGGCGGCTGGTAAATATCTGACGAGCCGCTACTAAACAGTTCAGTGTCACTCATTTTAATACACACTTAACGTATCAAACTTACAAACAATTATTTAAAAGAATAATACGCATGTCCTTTCGGGCCGAGCACAAAACGTGCACTGACTTGTTTACAAATGATGTAATAATTTCATTTGTTGCAAGAAGGAGGCAAATCCGGACCTGCTTCTTGACAACAAAAAGAGCAGATCCTTGTGCGGATTTACCTCCTAAATGCACCAAACCATAGCTAATTTTTTTGTTTAAAATGTAGGTGAAAAAAAAGGTAACGGTTAAAATTTGGATCTGCCCCTCTTTTGCTGCAAGGTCCTCAATTATTTTTTAATACTTCATTACTAGTACCTACCTGAATCTGAACACGAATATCAAAACAACCCTTTTTTGTCAGATTTCTTGATTACATTTAGATTTTCATAAAAACTAGGCTAACAAATTGAAATCTTTTTTTTAAAGTAATACCGTTGAGGATCCTTAAAATTTCTAGTGGGTCCAAAAACTTAAACTATTCAACCCAATGGACTCGCATGATTATTCCCCTCTGCGCAAGTATTGGATTTAAAAATTTTGTGCGTTTATAAAAACTGTTCATCCGTGTAGTGGCGGCCGAGAATATCCACTACCCCATATCTTCCCGTGGGTATCGTGGGTTCGTAAGAGGTGACAGAGGGAGACAGGCAGGAGATTGGCAGCAGCATCTTCCTAATAACAACAATAATATAATAAATAACTGCGGTTGCCAACCCGCTCGCCAAGCGTGGCAACTATGGCAAATATCCCCCATGAATAACAACGCAAACAAACGGCCCCCAGTCCCCGGCGGTCCCGCTATTCCTGGCTACGTTGGCGACCATGGTAACGGCGGGCAGGGGGTGCTAAGAATCTCCGGTGGAGGTTCGGTTGCCACCAACGACGACTCAACCTGGCAACATGTAACGCACGCACCCTGAGGACTGACGAGAAGATACTGGAGGTGGAAGAAGAAGTAGACAAGTTGCGCTGGAATATTATTGGATTATCCGAGGTCCGAAGAGAGGGAGAGGACACGGTAATCTTCGAGTCCGGCAACTTGTTCTATCACCGGGAGGGCGACCATCTGTCCCAAAGAGGTGTCGGATTTTTCGTCCACAAGTCTCTCGTCAACATCGTTGTAAAGATTGGGAGTGTGTCGACGAGGGTCACGTACATTATACTCAGAATCACACATACACAGTCATACAGCTTTACGCACCAACCTTGGCACATCCCGATGAGGACGTGCCGAGGTTGTTGACGAGAGACGACCACGTAAAACTAGGCACAAGAGAAACCGGTGAGCTGAAGTTAGGGAAATTTGGAGTAGGGCAACGGAACCGTAGGGGCCAGCAGCTGGCCAACTTTATGGAGAAAGAGGGACTCTTTATGATGAACTCTTTCTTCCAGAAGCGGCCCCACATGAAGTGGACCTGGTCGAGCCCCGACAGTTCGACAAAAAATTGATTGACTTCATTATGACGACCAGACGCCAACTTCTCAGTGATTTCTCAGTGATCGCAAGGGTAAAAACTGGCAGCGATTACCGAATGGTTACAGGCACACTGAACCTAAACATTAAGTTTGAGAGGTCTCGTCAAATGAAGTCAACGCTCCATCCCCCCCGTGCTCTAATCCAGAATCCCGAAACTTTACAGCTCGAGTTACGCAACCGCTTTCAGTGCCTAGAAGATTGTAATGCAGTGGACGATATGAATGACAAGCTCGTGGAGACTTTCCATGCGGTCGGAGCTAAGTTCTGCAAGCCCCGCCGCATAAGATGACAAAAACTCTCCGATCACACTCTTAATCTCATGGCTGTTAGACGGGAGATGAGACTGCAATCGTCAACAGATTTGACAGCATACAGGCAACTGAACAGACAGATTTCCAAATGCATGCGGCGAGACTTGCGCAACTTTAATACTACTCGTATTGAAGTAGCGATCGAGCGGAACCAGGGCTCCAAAGTCTTTGCCAGAGGTCTGTCTCCCAGTAAGAGCCAACTGTCAAAGGTGAAGACTGAGTATGGCAGCGTCGTTTCCGGTACACCTGAGATTCTGAGTGAGATTGAGAGGTTCTATGGACAGCTTTACACATCATCGTTGGAGCCACACGCAAGTGTGAGTAACGATCCAAGAGCAAGTCTTATCCGACACTATTCCGATGATATCCTAGACGTCAATCTGAGCGAGATTAGAATGGTTCTCCAGCATTTTAAAAACGGAGTCCCCGGGCGAGGATTGAATTACAGCGGAGCTTCCGAAAGCGGGTGGAAAACCGGTACTTGAAGTCCTTCAGAGGCTCTTTAATTTCGTTCTCCATGGTGGCGCTACTCCGGAGGCGTAGAGTAGAAGTGCGTTGGTCTTGTTTTTCAAGAAGGGTGACAACAACCTCTTGAAGAACTACAGACTGATATCCCTTCTGAGCCGCATCTACGTACTGTTTTCTTGAGTCGTTACGAATCGTCTCGCATGCAGACTCGACGACTTCAAGCCGGTTTCCGAAAAGGCTTTAGTACCATAGACCACATACATACCCTTCGGTAAATTGTACAGAAGTCCGAAGAGTACAATCTGCCACTTTGCCTGGCGTATGTGGACCATGAGAAAGCCTTTGATTATGTCGAAATTTGGGCGGTGCTACAGTCTCTTCAGCGGTGCCAAGTTGACTGTCTGTAAATCAAAGTGCTGAAGTGTTTGTACAGTAGGGCTACAATGGCTATCCGAGTACAGAGCCAGAGTACGAAACCTATCCAACTGCAGAGAGGTGTAAGACGGGATGAGGTTATTTCCCCGCAACTCTTCACCGCTGCATTGGAAGACGTTTTCAAGCTACTGGACTGGAAAGGATACGGTATTAACATCAATGGCGAGTATATCACTCACCTTCGATTTTCCGACGATATAGTCCTTATGGCAGAATCGCTGGAGGACTTAAGCACTATGCTTAATGACCTCAATGGTGTCACCCAACGGATAGGTCTTAAGATGAACATGGTTAAAACAAAGATCATATTTAATGTCCATGTTACACCTATGCCGGTAGTTGTTGGGAGCACTAAGCTCGAAGTTATTGACGAGTACGTTTACCTGGAACAAATAGTCAGATTAGGTCCAACTTCGACCGAGAGGTCAATCGACGGATTTAACTCGGCTGGGCAGCGTTCGGGAAATTACGACGCATCTTCTCGTCAGATATACCTCAAAACCTGACAACTAAGTTGTACAACCAGTGCGTGTTGCCAGTGAAGACCTACGGAACCGAGACGTGGTCCTTCACTGCTGGCCGTATGAGGATGCTCAAAATCGCTCAGAGAGCTATGGAGAGAGCTATGCTCGGAGTTTCTCTGCGTGATAAACTTAGAAATGAGGATATCCGCAATAGAACCAGAGTAATCGACATAGCCCAATGGATTAGTAAGCTGAAGTGGCAATGGGCCGGCAATATAGCTCGAAGCACCGGCAACCGTTGGGGAAAAAAGGTTCTCGAGCCTCGTACCGGTAGGCGAAGTGTAGGGCGACCCCCCACTAGATGGAGTGAGGACCTGGTAAGACATGCAGGAAGTCGATGGATGCAGGTGGCTCAGGACCGTGCTTTGTGGCATACCTTGGGGGAGGCCTATGTTCAGCAGTGGACTTGTGAAGGGCTGTAATGATGATGATGATGATGATAAAAACTGTTTACGGAATCTATTTCGTCATCACAAGAATCGATTCCATCGTTGTAGGTACTCTTTAAAAAATGCCGATTTGTGCCGTTAACGTGTATATAAAGAAGTTTAATACTTCAAATTTACAAGAAGATAGAGTTACATGTAAGTATTTTTATTGTTATGTATGATTTCTATTTTAATCATTTAAAATAATATCATAAATAATAAATGAGAACTTTACCGATAAAATAATCGAGTACATAATATTACATAAACATCGTAGTGATAATCGAAATGTGACAAGAACACTCCCCACTAGATTAACTATATATTAATTTTTTTAAAGTCAACCCTTTGATGTTACAAATTAGGTTTAAAATTAAACACGCAAGCACATCGGCACTCCTTACAAGACTAGTTTATATTAGCAAACATATAAACAATAATAGTGTTACGAGACTACCTAACCTTATAAGTTCTGTCAAAACCTTATTATTTAAAATTTTTGAATACTAGCTACATGAGCTTCACAAATTTTAAAAATATAATATTTGCGCTTGCCGAAAATAATAAGATATTAATTTTCATTCATTTTCAATTATGGAGTGGTTGAATAAGGAAGATAGAGTAGCGGTTATCGCGTTGCAATGCTGTGGTAACGCGCCAAAAGAGATCAATCATTTGACATGATCAATATTCTACATAAATTGAAAATACGATTTGTTTATCGCACTATCAAACGATCCACTAAAGATTCAAGCTTTGAAGATCGTAAGAGGACCGACCGACCTCGTACAGTTACGACACCCGCGATCATCAAAGTTGTGAATATATCGATAATTTTTCATTATTATTCATTGAAGAAGCATTAAAATGTATCATCAAACACTCAACTAAAGAAGATAACCTATTATTGTAATAAAAGTGTG